GGGGCGTGCATATATATAGCCAAGTATATAGCTAACAACACACGCGCTCAAGCACACGCTAGCACGCGCACGCGCGCACGCACGTACAGACGACAGGCAAAAATGGTTTATAGCACACAAACGAGCACAGCTCATGTGCGCTTGATAATTATGATTATGTTTGTCAGGGGGCCGAATCGCGTCTCGTCAAATACTGAACGTTGTACATACACTACAATGTTCACGTACTCAAAGATGTTTTTAAATATGAAAGTGTTGCAGGGGGCCGCGCCTGGCAAAGCGGTTACAAGCAGCATGCGGAGTTATAGCGTAGACATGGATAGAGATACACACAGGGGGACAGTACAGCTGGATGCGGTAGTAAACAAAGGGAGAGCAGGGGTGAATATATAGATGGATATAGAGACACACACAGGGGGACATGCAGCTGGATGGGGTAGTAAACATGGAGAAAGAGAGAGCAGGGGTGCATGAATAGATGGATATAGGGAGCATGGAAAGAGGACATGGTAGGTGGAATGACTATAGCACGCAGAGGGTACGTAGTGGGTAATAGGTATAATTGGCAGTGTAGCATGTAGAGATACAACAGGGGGTAGATGGATAAGTTAAGTAGCATGTAGCATGAGAGAATCAAGGCGCGAATAGGTGGAAAACGGACCAAATAGAATATATATAGATATAAGAAAGCAGGGCCCTGACGCACATATATGAGATAAACGAGCTAACGCTCCATTAGCAGTGTTCCCAACTTGGATATCATCAGGAGCGTATAATGACAAATATTTGTCATTATACGCTCCTGATATCATTAATAATTAATGATTAATAATTGATAATCCTAACCCTAACCCTAACCCTAACCTAAATGACATTAAACCACAAACTAATATATGGCCATGACCACATATATATATATATATGTTATTATGACCATTAATGACATTAAAGTTGGGAACACTCCTAATGGAGTATATCACCCGATAAACGAGACTTAATTGGTTGCACCCAATAATGCTAACAATAACTATGGAACCGGTATCACGTGAACCGGTATTACGTACGTCATTGCACAATGCTTCCGAGACTGGGAACACACCAAAGTTAGCTGCACGAACCAAAATATCGAGCATGTCCATATTATATGGTTGATCGATATGATTGGCTGCATGCACGTCCACGCTAGTGGTCATATTAGGCAAAAAATTGACATACTTTTGTCGCTATTATATGCCTATATCGATATCAGCTATAATGTAGAACGGCCCAGCAATGTGGAACACGAACGCGACTATTACAGCTATATTACGTATGTCACTATCATTCGTTGCAACTTTAGTAAAAACTTTAGTCATTATTTCCGTGCTATAGATGGGATATAGATGGATATGATATCTATCCATTCGATTAGCAGATAAACCTAAGCTACAACTGATTTTCTCCGCAAGCATTATTGCGTGACAAGTCACGACATTGTTCAGGCCACGGTGACTTTCGCTTTCAATTAAACAATATTGCATTCAGGTGCACGTGCGTTTCAGCCTTCAGACTATTGTATGTCTGTAATATAACGTATTGTACCACCAGTAACTACCAGTCTTAATGTTTCTCTACTCTCTTTCACCTATTATTTCCGACAATTTCCTGTAAATGCCGTCCAAATGCTCATCTGCAACACACGCTGGCTGCAAGGGCGTAGCCAGGAATTTGGATTGGGGGGTTTCTCGAGCGAGTAACACGGGGGTCTGACTTTTTTTTTAGTTAAATGTAAAAATAGTGCTCTAAAATCAATTTAGACGCTGTTTTGTTGACAATACTATTTCTTCTGCAGCTCTACAACGACACCGATGCCGTGGCCGATCCAAGATTCCAAGGTGGGGGGTTAAAAAATTGTGAAAATGTAGATCGCAATAGATTGTATTTGAGGCACTTTTGAGTACATGTACAGCCTTCATTCTGACTACGACAATTCTATTTTTAGTGGAACAATTCTTTTTTCTTTTTTTTCTTTTTTCTTTTTTCTTCTTTCGGATCAACAAGGGGGCCATGGCCCCCTTTGGCCCTTTGCCCCCCCCCTAACTACGCCAATGTTTTAACGTTAATTTTTTTAACGAGGCCAGGATTAGGCCAGCTACGCGCTTTTAAGAGAAAAAAAAATAAAGTTTTTTTTTTGATTGGGGGTCATAGGGCCCCCAGGACCCCCCCCCTGGCTACGCGCTTGGCTGGCTGCCGCACGCTAGCTGCTGCACACTGACACACAAATATATATTTATATTTACGTGTATATATGTGTATTTATATATTTATGTGTCAGTGTGCAGCAGCTAGCGTGCTGTAGCAAAGATTAGCCAAGCAAGAGATTATATACCCGAACTGCATGGAAACCCGCCTATCTATTGTTTATCGTCAATCCGCTCTACGCGCCTGTCTCTACTACTGGCTAATCCAGGGTCACGACTTTACACAGCTGGGCATGTACCCCAAAATAGAACAATAGCATAATAGTGTGTAGTTATTATTATGTATTTCTGCGGTATTACAATGCGGCAGCCAGCGTGTGTTGCAGATGAGCATTTGGACGGCATTTACAGGAAAATTGTCGACAATAACAGGTGAAAAAGAGTAGAGAAACATTAAGACTTTGGTAGTAAATAGATTTCGTATTTATTTAGCATTATATTTTATTGAAACGCTCCAAGTGCCTGTGCCCGCACACGCACGCGCACGCACACGCACGCGCACGCACGCACGCACACACGCACACACACACGCACGCACACACACCCACCCACACACACACGCGCGCATAGTAAACACGTACGTGTTTATGGGTCGACAGAAACCCTGCCGCGTACGACTGGTTCGGCTGGAGAGGATGAGAATAATGAGCGGTGTAATGGGGAGAGAGGAGAGGTAAGGCGAAGGGAGACGGGGTAGGAGAGAAACAATATATGAGAGGAAGCGGGATATGACAGCTGAGCTTGCACCTTCTCTCTTGACTATATATACCTCCTCTCGTATCTCTTCTTCTCGCCTTTTGTTTCGTGTGAACCAACCGTTAATTACTCTTTATGCGCGTATAATACAGCGCCAGTACTTCCTGATGCTTTGTGAAAAGATGCCTTGTTCTCAGTCTCAGCCAAAAAGTAACAATGTGCCAGCTGGCATGTGTAGTGATATAGATTCGTACGAACACTGCCGCCGTATGATGCAGATACACTAAGCTTGGCAGAGACGATACGGCACTGCGTCATAGTTAACATATATGTGTGTCTCTCGATACGAACTATTTGCACGTCAGAATTTACGCATGTCGGCAACTAAAATTCTCCGAACTATTTCAATGCAAACATATCGAGGTTCCGGGAGAAAACTCCTTGAAATAATATTAGAAATAGAAAGCCGGCACCTTTATGTACACACGCATACTTCCTTGTGCGTGTAGACGTACGTGCACGCCACTGCACGCACGGCTGGCTGAGGGAAATGTAATCCGCATCGTGAAGGCATTGTTATTACAAATAAATAGTACAAATAAAAACGCCGGCACCTTTATGTACGCATATATCCTTTTTCTTGCGTGTAGACACATACATGTACGCTGCACGCACGGCTGGCTGGGGGAAACGTAATCTGTATCATGAAAGCATTGTTATTATGACAAGGTGGGTATGTAACCGTGTGGATCACCGCCCACTGAATCTTTGCTTTCTATTGTGCGGCCGTAACAGCCACGTACGTCCTCTCAACAGAAAAATCTAGGTTTATTTGTACTCTGCCTTTTTTTCGAAATAGAGACATTACGAAAGCAAAATATATCCATACATTATCACTCGAAGCATTTTCAACAGACAAAAATGTAGGTTTATTTGTACTCTGCCTATACCTTCGAAATGGAAATAAGATTACGAAAGCAACTAAAGCAAAATACATCCATACATTATCACTCGACCACTATACCGACTATATTTCTTTATGGGACGTCTCCAGTTTAGGGTTTACACGTGATAATGTTAGTTATGTTAATGTTAATGCTAATGTTTCGTAAACTAGTTCACGCGTTATGTTGCGGATGGGGGACAGTTGAGCAAGGCCATAAAATTCGTAGTCAGAATGATTATGGATGTTCCACTTAGCAACACGGTAAAAATGCCTTTTTGACCAACCTACAAGTGACAATTTAGCACTGTCGCATGTCTTCCCTATTACGTGGGTAAAGGGAAAATTATATCAGCTTGTCTGTACAATGTTGCATGAGCTACACGAATCGCTGGCATGCAATGATTACATATAGTCATGTACTGCCATACTGTTATCAGATTTTTAGAAATCCAGAGTCATATTATGGTGATTCATGTAATAGGATGTTGACATTGGTAAACTGCATGTTTTCTTTAAAACTTTTACATCCGTTTACTGCCCCCCCTCCCTTCTCTCTTTATACAGATATGTAATAAATCAAATAATACATAAACTGCTCTGGCAAGTAATAAATAAACTGGCAGATACAGCTAGTGGCATCTTCTGGTTGAATAACGCTTGTGTAACACTACTTTGTGTACATTTAGTAGCATACAAAACTTTCGCAGCAGTATTTCGCTTTCGATGGACTTTGGAAATTGGAATTGGAATTTGGAAATTCCATTGGAAATTGGAATTTCCATTGGAAATTGGAATTTGCTTTGGAATTTGGAATTGGAATTTGCTTATTCGATGGACCAATTAATTATAATGTAACGATAAATAGATATTGCCATTCCGATGTGATGGGGGGGGGGAGAGGGTGTAGGGGATATGCAGCAAGTTAACGGGGTACAGAATGGAGGAAGCGTAAAAAAGAGGGAGAAAACAGAGTTATGAGAATGCGGACTGAAAATATACCAATTATAGTGATAATGTAAAATAACTTTAGGATTTGCAGGGAACTATAGGAAGCAGTAATGCTTGTGCTGACAGGAGCATGGGATCAAGGATAAATGTATAAATTTCCTTCAGAATAATTCTTCATTATAGAGTATAATTTCATTTATTCTCAACTAAATGGTATCACTATGATACAAAATGATTTTTTCAGTACGATACAGAAAGCACCTGATTGAATTAAGTAACTTTTTTTGCAGCACATTACTTCAGAACATGATGAAATTAAATATTTTTAATTTCTAAATTTTTCCCGCTCTTCAAAAATACGAAATTGCAGCATACAAACATAGCTCAGACCTATTTCTGTACTTTCATTATGTCATTTGTTATGTTCTAGGCTGCGTCCCCAGACAGTATAGAATAGCTAGTGGTGCTGATGACAACATTTACTGCCATTGCAGATTGACATTGCAGACGTTGATGTAAATTATAATCTTTACTTATACGAGTTTCAGATGGAATGTTGCCAGCATTGTCCCCCGGCAGCGAACATTACATTACCTGCGACCTCGCAAACGCTGAGATTGTCCACCTACACACAGACTGTCAATCGTGGGGAAATCCGCACTCCGGTGGAGCATGACAGCGGCGAAGTGCAGACATCAGCTCGTGGGGTTAGTCCTGAGACGTTCCAGCCGAGATAAGATCTCCTTAAGCTGCTGCTCCAGATCTTCCAGACTGGCAGCTAGATTCTCTTCCGTTTCGCCGATTATAGATCCATGTTGCTGCAGTACATGCCAACAGAATGTGATGAGGAGCTAATGCAACACAGTTTTGATAAATGTATCACTATATTATATATCTGTGACTATGTGTATATACTATATGTATGTATACTACATATATATATATATATATATATATATATATATATATATATATATATATATATATAGGGAGAGAGAGAGAGAGAGAGAGAGAGAGAGGCAAGAGAGATAAATATTATATATATATATATATATATATATAAATCATGAACATTTCTGTACATATTTATACACGAGTATAAATATGTTGATGATATATATATATATTAGATGAACTTACTCTGACTTTGGCAATGACTCCCCTGAGCATGAGTTTAGCAGACGACAACAACTGCATTGCATCAGCCGGCCTAAGGGTGCTGCAGTCCAAGTAGGCTGCAAGCAACATGACAATATTCATTAAAAAAAATACGAAAAATACACGTGAGTAGTACGTGAAATACATTATTACTACATTAGTGCATCACATGGCAGGTTTACCTGATTTTGAACCTGAATATATTATATCACATAAAGGATCGAGTGAAAATTTAGTGCACGTATAGTGAAGGGGAATTTCGCCCATTCACATATGCAAATTCTAAGTTAATTTATGGCAACGTTAACCTCGTCGACAGAACACTCTTGGGGCAATTAATGCCAAGGTAGAAATCACGATAAGTGGTGGCAGCGGTCCCACATCTTGACGAAAGCACGGACAGTTCTGACCAGGGCATTGGTCGGTTTTTATCACGTGACGTAGCCATGCATGTTAGCAAGAGAGAGAGAGAGAGAGAGGGAATATAAGAGAAGGGTGAGAGATAGAGAGGGGTCATTCACGGCTACAAAGTATGTGAGTATAGACTGTTTTGTGTGTGGTTACCGATCTGTGTTTAACCTATTATATACCTTGGTTGCTGTTTTAGTGTATTTCATGGAGTATACCGTGATTTTAGTTAGATAGACGACCATGTACGCGTCATGCTCAAACTTGGGATTATAACATTTGTGTGCTCTTCTTTAAAACATTAAATAATCTTCTTTATAACGATAACAATTAATGATCTTCTTTATAACCGTTCGTTGCATATCTTATACATTGTTCCTTCGTCAGTTTTCGCTGTCTTTTCGCTAAGCTACGCTATCTAATGGTAATTTCTTACACGCGCCAAAAGGCACGAACCTTTCACTACCACTGTTACGATTACACCATAGGCCGTAACGATATTATAGCTTGCGTTACACACGTAGCAAATCACTTAATTCAAAATACCAGACTATGATATAAAAAAGACTATAAACTTAGGCTACACTAGATTAATCTTAAATGCTGTGCTATTCCATATGTAGCCAGCTTAAATTAAGTTTTATCACAATGCATCCAATTTTAATAGGTGTTCTTCGAATTCTGCATGTCAAGATGTTATTATACTAGTGTAAATATAAACATAGTAAGTGAGCAAAAATTAAGTCACCTCATGGCAAGATATAAGTTTATTCTCCTACACAGATACCATGTACTACTATATGTATGCATCAGCTAATCAGGAGGATATACGAGTATATCCTCTCATGTGTTCCTGATTCAATTCCATTTCATCACACACACTCACACATACACACCTGTAGCCAGCCTGCCTGCAAACTGGCACACCTGCGTCCTGGATTCAGCACCCTTCTCCCATCCCAACGTATGTGTGGCACATCTGTGGGCCTTTTGTAGAAAGTTCAGTGCCTACAAATAAATATATATATAATGTACTATACATTATATATTATGCATATGTATATATTATGTAATGCCCTAATTACAGCTGCATACATTCACGTACAATAAAAATGCAACTTGATCACTGCACCATAAAGTGTTAATAAATTACTAACAAACCATTGGCATACAATGCATTAATCAATGATTAACTATTAAGTTGGACATTAATAATATATATATAATATATAATAATGAATAAGAAATAGTTGGACATTAATAATTAACTTTACTACCTATCAAAATATGACATCAAGCATTAACAGTAACGATACCCATCAGTAACATATACCATTACCATACGATGTCAGTCATTATATATAACTCTCTACCAGCACACTATATGAACCAATAGCTTACCACAATTACGAGATATAGATATAAACGCACTGCCACAAGATATTATAGGATTGATAGAGATTTGTACTATTAGTATATATAATATCACTGACTAACGTATACCTTATCCTTACTCTCTGGTGCATCGCCCTCATCCCCACTCTGTGTCAGCTGTGCATACAGCCCCCACATGACCGGGTTGTTTGTAACTTGTGATGTCATTTTGCCCATAAGTTCCAAGGCCTTAGGTTTGAGTCTGGAGGCAGATTCGCCCTGACTGTTATTCGTCCCATCAGTGATTGCCGTTATCAGAATCCTCAGCACCTACAGAAATCACGTATAAGTCGCTCAAGAACACGCACCGGGTAACTGCAGCTGAACACATCTCGCGTGATATAAACTGCGCAATTTGCTACATCAGATAAAAACTCTATTTGAATATCCCGCTGATAATCACAGAAATACACGAGTTTGTCAATATATTTTCGAGCAGCCTGTCAGGTTGAAATAGGATTACTTTTCAAGCAGTAGACGAATAGCTGTTTACTCAGGAGGAGGATCACAGCACTGTGCCAAGGCAACCGTTCTATTCACCTCCGTATCTGTGTACTTTTCTTTAATATCCGTGAGTCGATGCAGGGCATTGATGACTTCCTCGAACTCTCCACAATCTATGCTGACCTGCGTGTGTAATACATATAAACAAACAAATTTAACAGGCTTTATTAGGTCAATTGGTGTGGGACACTGACATTTAACTTTGAGGGAGATCCCCCATCATATCCAACACAGGCTTTCTACCTAACAGTAAAATAATGAGTACACAACAACTCTCACCAATAGGTAATTTTCCCATATCTTCCAGTTTTCAAAGCTCAATTTCAAAGCCTCTTGCAATGTCTTATGTGCCCTTGACCTGAAAAGTAGTACATGAATCAATACTAAATCTGTTAGGAATGTTGTTGCAAGATGCATTCTTTACTAAAGTATAATAACATTAAAAAAGTAATGTAATGGGGATAATTTGTCATCATATGACTACTCACTTTTGATGTAATTTGATATAAACGGAAGACAGATTATTCCAGGCCTCTGAATTCTGCAACAAACAATAATCAAGGTCATGCAAGATACACTTTAAATTTTTTCCCCACTTCATCCGTACAGAGCTATGATTATAACTGATCGTGATTCTAAACGTGCTTGAGAACACAATACAAGAATGTGGTGGAAGTGGGTGATAACAGTGAAAGCACTAGGGCTTGACCGGCACAGTAAAGAATTACACACCTCAGGGTCGAGTGTCACACAGCGTCTCAGAGCCGTCGCAGCCAGCTCGTACTGCCGGGTGAAGAGTGCTGAGCAACCCAGAGAGAACCACACTGAGCTCTGCAAGCATCGCCATAGTTACTATCACCCGCCATTGTTTGAGCAAAATTGAAAGGTTAACCGTGTTTTACTCTATATGATTCTAAACAGTGTGGTACGTATCACAGTCAAAATTGATTCGCATATTGATATCGAGACCAACAACAGAATTAATATTAATTCAGCAAAAGCGGAAGACAACATTTAAAGTTTTAATTTTTGAAAGATTAGAATTATATACCTGTAGTGGATTGACCTCAACCGATTTTTGGAAGCAGGGAACACAGTCAGCATACTGAAATAAAAGCCAAATCCACTTTTTACTTGTAATAGGAAAATTATTATGGACTTACTTAAAACTACTTTTGCAATTTAAATTTTGCATTATGCATTATACTCAATATAGTAATTCAAAGTGAACACATCATATTAAACATAAATTCTTCAAAATAATAGGTTTAGCAATTTAGTAATAGCATTTTACAATTTTTGGCAAGTTATATTTTAATACCCTGGTCAACATTGAAACAAAATTAAGTCACCAACTTCGATCAAGAATCAATCAGATCTTGGTACGACTCGTGAACCGATGGGGAACAACTATCCAAATCCTAAATATACACGTCATCTATATGTCAGATAAATAAGCATATATGTCTTAATACTGAGAATAATAATGATAATTAAAGCAAACTATAAATAACAACCTCTTTTTTTGCTAGATGCAGGAAACCAAGAGATCGTTGGGCGCGCGCACTCCTGTGACCGGACATCTCCCATGCCTTATCGTAATACTGCGCGTCGCGAGTGAGATCTCCCAGAATGCACCACAGCATGGGAGTCTCATCCTCAGCTAACTGTTTACGCACGATCTTCTCTGCCTGCACACGAGAGTGGCAAGCGATTACCGAGTTGCTCATCTGCCTTGGCTCACCAAGGTCAAACTTATTATATTGTGACGCTAGCTGCATGATACACAGAGAAAGATTAAAATGCACAACTGCTTCGAAGAAATGTCCAATATTATACTCTTATACTCATTATAGGCTTTTAATAATTCAATAGTATAATCCACATTCAGTCGTATACTCAAAATGAATGCCAACCATTGGGATATGAAGCCATAATAATATACTTTCACGTAAATCAAAAGTAGATAATACAAAGCGTCTAAATTATCTACTTTTTCTGTCAATATATCTTGCATCGATTGCATAGGTCTAATCGAAAATGCGAATATTGAAGACAATGTGGGATGGCAAATAATATAATAAGATCAAGATAAGATTACAATACATGATTACAAGATTCAATTAATCCTAACCTGTTCTCTCCTTCCCAGCTGCTGCAGACAGGCAATGACGTCATCCCACAACTGAAGTCTCTCAAAGATTTCCAAAGCAGACGCCACAGAGCCAAGTTTGAGAAGCAGATTCGCCAACACCTTCTGTTAAATAATCGCCACATACGATCAGCATGCTCGCACATCACGCATTTAACTGACTGGTTATTGCTGATCTAAAAAAAATCATTATTTTTACAGAATTGATATATTTTGCTACTGCCTCAAAGCTCCAATATACAGTCTTTGTCCAACTAAAATATATGTGTATCAATAACAACTGATTTACAGCCGATTACTGCCATGCCTCTCACTGAGTTTAATTACCTCCACCAACCATTTCGGTGGAAGGCAGACTGCATGGAACAGTCTCAGCTTCTCTTGAACGGGACATATTTCATCTCCTACTGCATCAACGAGTGCCTAGAAAAGATTATACCATAGATTTCCACAGTGTTCTGTTATGTATCAAACGAAATTACACCAATAACAAATCTGTAGAAAACTGTGGGTGTGACAGCTGCATATGTTTTGAAAAGCATAACAAGTGCCGAATAGTATGTCCGCAGCAGTTACCATTTTAGTACACGTGTAAAGGTGCATTACAGGACACAGTTATCAAATGGATAAGTTCAACTTAACTATTAGACAATTAGCCAGAAATTCATCCAACCTTCTAGCAACCCAACCTTATATGTTGGCTTGCTAGATGAGACACGTACATTACAGATTTATATGTTTGATGGACTTGCGAATAATTTATCTAGTATTCGAGCAAGCAGGTCACCTGTAGCTGCATCATGCTCCGCTCTGCCCTGCGTCTGCTGTCACTCTCCAGCTGTGACCGTAGCAACAAGCCCATGAACTGGGTCGCCCACACCTTTGGCGACGACAAAACACACTGCAGGGCAAACGAATAAATGTATACATGCAGTGAGTGCGCATCTGTGTGTGCAGGTGTGTGTGTATTAAGTAGCTCACATGGAGTACAGAACAGAAGTTACTGACATCTGCTTTATGTCACAATAATATTGTGTTAATAAAAATTATTTTATATAAAACCACAACAGCAAAGGACTGCAAAGCAAATCACAGCATATATTATCTATTGCAGCATTATACTATACACATCTGCTGCATTTATGCTCGTTTAATCCTAAAATTCGTTAAAGATGAAACTCAGCTAAAACTGATACTTCCTACGTGTCTCGATCAGCCAAACAGTTGCGCTTAGATTACTGTATAATATATTCACTTTTTTTATTCTATTATAAGATATCCGTGAAGCATGGCTGTGTCGTGTTTAAACAGCAACGTTATAATTAATGAATGTCACAAACAACAATGTAAGCTAAAAATAAAACATGAATTGATTTGATAAAAAAATTATAATATATGATGAAATATGATTGACTGGTTGAAATATCAACCACACCGCGAAAAACTCCTATCCGTATACTTCCGCTTTCCTGCCCTAACACCCATGGCATATCTACACCAAACATTACTCACTTATAGGTGCAGTCATATCCGCTAAATGCGAGATATGAGTATTGGCGAAGGAAAATAGGACAGCACATTTGGTGCACACTCGTACCAGCACATTGCATCAAACATGAATCTACTAAATGCTGCTTGTTTTTTCATCATTCTGTATGTGGTTATCACGTCTTGTGAGCCTGTTGCGCATGCAGCAGAACAGGTGAGTAGAGCATCCATCATTAGCAACATAAACGCACACATGCATATATACTTGAGTATATACATAATGCTCACAGTAGCCACAGTGTGACTATATACTAATAAAGATATCAAATTTAATTATAGAAATTAATGTAAAATTAGGTGACCACACAAGCCGCAGGAATGGCTATGAAAAGTGCTAGATGAACTTCGAAGATTTTTTTACATCGTCGGAATTCACAACTCTAAACCAGTACCTATTGTAAATTCCCATAACTAATCTATTCATGTATAGGATTACGATAACGATAGGGGTAGTGATCTTAGGCTGGTTTTAATGGTCAGAAATGCAGAGTAAACAAATTTACATAATTGAATACTTGTGAAGACAGGCTTGTGACGCATGTAAATATTTTATTTACAACTACTAGGCTTTCAATGGTAGGTATTGGAAACTAGGCAGCCCTTGTTGGGCTGACTGTATAGTATGGGCACTGTTCACGTGCTCTGGCCATCATTTATGATCTCGGAATCAATGATTCCCGGATTTATTATGATTCGAGACTGATATATGTGATTAAATGGAGCATACGTATGCTGGCAGAAATTTTCACTTACAGCTTAATTACTTCACGCATTACAGGTAATAAGTTATAATGTTATAGAGTGGCGACCAACCAGTACCAGCACAGTTTGGGTTCACATAAAGTTTGTCAACCTGTTGCATGAGAGGAAAAGACTGTGGTTCAAAACCCCACAAATCCCTCACATAATCTTTAATCCATAAATACTGTGCATATATATTTCCGTTCCTATTATTCTACTACTGCATATTTATGGCTTAGTCTCACGGTAGGCTGTATAGTAATCTATGCAGCAGTTGAAAGAGACCCGTTCTAAAAAAATTTGGCTGGCAGTGTGTACAGGGTCCACCAGGATTGCCTGGCAGAGATGGCCAGGTTGGCAGGGATGGGCTTCCGGGCCGGGATGGAACAGAGGGCAATTCTGGAACCAAGGGAGAAATAGGAGACAGTGGTACGTAACAGCAATTTAACAAGTAAATTAACAATAGTGAAGCGAATGCGAAACGTTTACTGCTGCATGAAACAGTAATTCGAAATGCATTTTCCATTGCCTAATCACATCAATTGCTCTAATTTCAATTTGGAACGAGTAATTTATTATAGTTTGGTTGTTTTCTAATATAATCAAACTATGTATAACTACATAATCATATAATCAAAATGACTTATGTTGCAGGAATATCATGTGTCCAAGATCTTGGCAATAAAAATAAAATAATACAACTATATTGTTTCTTTCAGCTACCTCTCGTACATATATTGTCTTTACTTGCACATTTGCTACACGTTGACTAATCTTACATCACTATAGGTGCGCCAGCTACATGCTCATGTCCTGCCAGGAACATCAAGCAGTGTGCGTGGTGGGACCGTAACCTTGACATAGATAGTGGACTCATCAGTGTAAGTGCGATTAAGAAGCGTGCTAAAATTCCTACGCCACAAACTCACAACACAACTCAACCGTATTTTTACCCATTAGATTATTTTCCAGAAATGTAAATTTTGTAACGACCTGATCACTGTGACGAGATATGGACTTATCTGGTGAAATTTTTCAAAACAGACATGCAAGTTCAACAAGATTAGCTCACACACAGCACTGTATGTCATCTGGCATGGCAATATACGACTGATACACACAGCGGGGACAAGCGGCGCATCCTGTGCACGGTGGTACATAACGTTTAATAACGAGGAGTGCATCAACCCGACCAGCATCGACGGCACAATGTTGACCAAACTAACCAATGAGAACCAGCACATTCCAACGACTAGTATGTATCGCTAAGACTACGTACAGTTGGTTCAGGAAGGAGGGAGGTATGGTAGGAGGGAGAAAGGCAGAAAAAGAAAAGGAGAGAAACAATGAGCGTGTGTATGTGAGAGATAGAGTAAAAGACAGAGAAAGAAAGAGAGAGAGAGAGAGAGAGAGAGAGAGAGAGAGAGAGAGATAGAGAGAGATAGAGAGAGAGGGAGGGAGAGGGAGAGATAGAGAGAGGGCAAGGTGGGAGGGAGGGAGATGTGAGTGGGAGAGACAAAGGGAGACAGAGATAGACAAAAAGAGAGGTAAGAGGGTAAAGAGGGAGGTAAAAAGAGAGGTAAGGAGGGAGAAAAAGAGATAGGGGGAGAGAAAGAGAAAGGAAGAAAGTGCAAGAAAGGGAGAAAGGAAATGAAGAGAGAGGGGTGGGAAAAAGTTGCAAAGTGTGAGAGTAAGTGGGAGTGAGATCGAGCTACCTCTCATAGCATCATTCTGTCAACTAAGAACTAGCAGAACTAGCACTGGCAGTAATATGTGGAAGCATCCATTTATGCAACACCAAGATCAGCACAAAGCTCTGAATTAATTTACACGATTCAAGCCAGTACATCATTCTTTGTGTCTGTCTGCTTTTACAGTTCAGGGCATATGCATGGGCCAACCTGCAGGAACAATAGATGTAGCACTGCAGCTAGGAAACTGTCGCCCATGGCCCGGTGGCCTTGGCCAAGGAAATCGATACACCAGCTGGCACAGCACCTCACGCATAATTATCGAGGAGATGGACTACACTTATTAAAGAAACTCTGCATATAGGTTTCAGTAACTGGGCCTTTGCGCTAACACCAATTTTTCACGTTAGCATTATTATCACCCTAGCTGCTATCAAGTGCCTGTGTACAGGCTAGTTGCTTACAGGCTGGCTTCTATGCCAGCAACAAAGCTGTACTTAAAATAAACCTTGCATATTATAAACGTGCTAAAAGCACGGCTTTCGCAAAAACACCAACTCTGCATTTCTCCTTGGCTACTGCGCTTTCTCACTAGCACTAAACATGTATGACAGCCTGGCATTGCAAAGCAATAATGCATAATTTATTAACGCATCAATACTTGCAAATGGGATGCTGAATATGATTATTGTACACACACTGTGTTTTTTACTGACTGATTTTTCTCAAAAATCCATCACTTATTCAGTCATACATTTCTAACCTAATAGGCGATTTACATTCCCTGTTAATATTCAGTAATACACAATATAGCTTTTATGAATAAATAAATAATGAAAAAAATATGAATGAAGTTTTTTATAAATAAGAAGCTGGCCACACTTATAATCACTCAGCACACTGGAAATAAGGACATTTAATAAACACATAACACTCACAGTTAGAAATGCTCCCAACTCTTCACTGCGTAGCTTGTCTGCAGGACTTGTTTTCTTAACTTGGGCACTGAAAATACAGTTTTAAGCATTAAGAAAGCCCTTGTGTATTAGCAGTTACAAACAAGGCAAGCATGAACAACCAATCATCTCACACAGGTCACTAATCCGGCAACTTACCACAGCCCTAGCAAAAGCGCCTGCTCAGTGCCAGTCAAGTTCGTGACAAGAGATTCAGATGAATCGGTGAGCTTCACAGCACTCAACAGAGTGTCATCTTCTAGGATAACATCCTGAAATTTACCATATTGTAAGATTCGCAGCTAGAGGAAACCCCACTAAGAAATCGGTGAACTTGGTGTGTTCTCCTACCCATTCACTCTGTAGTGCTATCTAAAATAACTAAAGTCAATGAGAGTTTCCTTATATGTCACATACTCTCTCATGTTGATAGAAGAACATTTTTAATTAATGATTTTCGTCACATGGTTACAATAACTGGTTCATATATGATTGTTTACTTTTGGTAATCGCTCAGGATTTGCACATTGTTCCAGGTCACTGACTCTTCCAGCAGATGCTGCTAAATGCTTAATATTAAGCACTAACTGTGTAATATCAAACTGCTGAAACTTTGTTCTTTTCCCCAGCGCACCTGTAATAGAAAATTAGTGTATGTTATATTATAAGGGTTGAATTTTTTAGAGCACAGTTAAGTGTTGCCTTTAGTTTAATCAGATATTTTAGGGCACCACGGGCTGTTGGATCGCAACTCTTTTTACGCAGGATAACGTGTGATAACTTATGCAACATGGAATTTATGTGAAGGGCACTAAAAAAAGGAAAAGCATTAAGTGGGCCATTGATGGTGGTTTATTGCTGTTGATATACAATTTTCTAAGACAGCATGCCATGAAACGGGGCCAACCACTGCACTTGCTGTTGATACGATGGTGGCATTTAAAAAAAATTGACTAGTTGTTAGCTTTTTCTATGATTTTACTATCAGATGGACAAGACTGACACATTTATTCATCTACAATTTTCAAACCGCATTATGAATCTACTTTAGGGTATGGTGGATCAACAATTCCGCAGTAAATAAACATAACTCACCAGTAAAGTCTAGCTCCATTCCAAGCAATTTGGTGCTAGCCAAAAAATGGCTTTTAGCTTTTTTGTACTCATAATAGTACAGACATATATGGCCAGCCTCTATGTGGAACTCCTCAATTTGCCTTGTAACAAAGAAAAGCAAATTTTGAAATACAGTTACCAACGAATGTATAAGTTATTTCAGATAATATCTACGTTTTTTGAATGTGAATAACTGTGATTCGTTTGTTTGAATTTCCTACTTTCGTAATTTCGTACTACATTCCCACTTCCGTTATTCTCCATTGAATGGCATTACACAATGCAATCCATATGCAATTAACGATCATACCTGCTCTCGCCACCAGTCATTATCGACTCCTTTGATGACACTGCAGAAATGACAAACAAGAATGCACGTGTACAGTCTTTGGCAGTCAGTCACACATGGACAATAACAGTAAAGCATTACAGTCAAGCTCAAATAATAGCTAATTAACACACAGTTATATTTTGACTTGGCATGCATTATAAAAAAAGATGTTTACAAAAGCTTTGTATGGTATTGAAATTGTATTATAAGCTGTTAATGTTTATACATCCTGCTAATCTTTACCAGATTCTATGAGGGCTAAGATTTCATTCTTGATGACGGATGCTTGCTCATCAAGCAGCTGTTGATGAAGCCACAAACACCTGACCGACAACAGCTCACAGCATGTATGCTGAAACAAACACACATCATATGTATATATAACATAATATGTATATGTATATGTATATGTATATGTATATGTATATGTATATGTATATGTATATGTATATGTATATGTATATGTATATGTATATGTATATATGTATATGTATATATGTATGTAATTTATAATTCTTTGTTAGAAATCTATTATATTTTATGATAATGTATCATAGGTATAAATACTCGTAACTTACAAAAAAAATCTTTTGATTAGACCTATGATACATTATCATGAAATATAACAGATTTCCAACAAAGAATTATAAATTTAGATAACCAGACAAACCTTTAACAGCTGTTGGCTTGAGACTAATACCATCCTTGCAAAATAGAAGTACTCGGGAAAGACTACAAGCTGATAGATGGGGTTTCCGTCCACAGCCAGTAATTTCAACACTTGACATCGGATATCTCCAGCCTAGATAATTAATTAAATGGTTCATAATATATTAATTATTGTGGGTATTATTGTGCAGGATGCATTTCAGGAGCGATATTTACATTTAAATCATTTGATGTTTAGATGCTGAATCTATAAATTAATATGCTATTATTGTATACAGCCCTTTCCAGATCTAGCATAATTTTAAAAGCCTGTGATTACACATACCAGTGTGTTAGGACCAAACAATATAGGTAATGTGTCACATGGGCGTGACTGGGATGGGGGACCTGTCCAGTTGTTCTGTATAAACAAATTCATTGCAGCTATCGCAGCGAATATAAGCCTTCTCTCCCTGTAAAATAAAAAAATGACACAATATAAAATTATACAGCATACAAAATAGTTACTCTACAGCTAAACTATCGCTGAGAAGGTCTATGCCCCCCGGGGTACTGCCGGAATGTACCCTGGGGGACATGGACCCTATGAGCTAAACTATCTGTGTGTGTGAATTGCCATTACCTAGGTAAAAAAACTGATACGGCTTCAGCACCCCTTGTTCCAAAGTTTGTAACCGAAGTTTCTCACATTCCAGCATTTTCCAAATTTTGAATACCTGTATACTGTGAGTGTATACCTATATAATGTGGTAGCTCGGGATTGGGAATACGAAGTTCATTAAGTCGTTGTGATTTGTGTTTCATTTGAATGTTTCATTTCCATCTTACACACAGAACCTACACCCAATTATAAGAATTTTTTAAATTTCGTGCATTGAAATAATACCAATATCCACACGCAAGCATCAGAAATGTGAGCTATCCCTAACACAGCAGTCCACCTTGGCAAGCACCAAGGGCAAAAGTTGTGAAACATTGAAATTCATCATGAAAAATAACGGAATTTTTCACTCCTGGGCCATATGTCAGCATTTAGAAAAATTTCCAGATTTTTTAGCTTTTTGAATTTTAGATTTTCGAATAAGGGATGCTCAACCTGTATTGCGTACATCAGTGGAAAATGATTGCGATACAAACCTCATAGGTCTCTCATCACCATCTGCATCAAGATATTGTTGCAATCCATGATTCAACTTATCGGTGATCGGAGCATCAGCTGATAGGTAAGGCACCAAGATGTTGTAAGTGTCTACTAGCACACCAGTGTAGTCTCCTTCTGATAGCTTTTGCATGACACTATTATGTTCCCCAGTGTCTAAAAAGAAAGACAGGTGTGATGCAGATTAAGAGTACGAAGTAGTAGCAGAACAGTAGTTTGGAGATTCCCACCAACTAGGACTTTTTACTGCATAGCACAGTAAACTGACAGTGACGAGCAGATAAGCTCATGGTCTCGCTGACACATTCACCAATGCGGCGCTGCAAAATACAATATTAATTTAATAGAAATTACTTAGTAAATCATGACCACTCTCTCCGACTCCCTAACGAGTAACGGTTAACCAACTCGGGAACCCCCTTATTCTTCTTCTTCTTCTATATACTGAGCTGGGCTCTTGAAAGAGCGTAAGAAGATCAACCAGACTAGGCCTGGTTGGTGGCGCACAGTATCTGTCTCAATGTTAAATCAATGTGTCCAAAAGAATTTAAACTATTTACAATGTCAATGTCTGGTAAAGAAGTGTCAGGTTACTCCGCGAGGCTATTACTCAGGGCCCCTTAGTATAACGGGACCTAACCGTCACCAGTACCCTAACTTAATTCTAAGCTTTGTCGTTGTAACTAATTTGAACTTGACGTGATGTGGCCATGATGACGAGGCGCGCCGAGGTTTGACACTTTTTGTCTTCCAATCAGTCTATGCCGCACCAGTCTTTTATATTTTTAAATATGGGGGACCCATTGGACCACCAAATCGCCGATCTCAGGAACTAGGGCATTCTGCTACGCCAGAACCAGAACCGTTTCCTACGAGTTTGCCACAAATACGAAAATAAAACGCTGTTTAGCGCACTGCGCTACTGTCACATTTTCACATCTCTGTAATCAGAATAAGCCCCGCCTACTTCGTTGATGGGCACAAATGGGGCATCACCGGCGTGACCCGTTACTGCATGTAGGTGTTTGGCGAGACCGTTTGCTTTTCGTAAATAATGAAAGGCCCGGCCGATACATTTCGCATCGAAGTGGAAATGTTTGGCAATTTTACTCGCTTTCAGAAGTGAACGAGTGCGTCATTCATTAAACTTTGAAGTTTTTCATAAAAATAAAATAATTCCGAAAATCCCTACCCGCACTACTCGATTGTTTTAGCCAATGAACGTAGCTGTGTGTGTGACGTCTTGCCCGCGCGCTTTATGCTTGGCTTAGCGGGCCTCGAAATGGATATCGGAGGCACGCACCTCGCAACACACGTTACTGTAAGGCGCGTATTTGTTTACATATAGCTTTGTGATGTCAGGAGGGCGGTGTTCGGTAGTTTTGCGATGATAACCTCGTAATTTCTCAGAATTTCTCAAGGTGCATGGAACATTTTACCAATTTTGTGGTGTTAGTTAGTCACGGATATGTCACAGTAAGTACTAACCGTATATGTTTCACATACGTTCACCTATTTTGCACAAAGGCAGTGGATCATTGTGAAAAATTGTGTGAATATTTATTTTTATTGAGACGTTCCAAGTGCCTGTGCTTTCAACAGTCTTGTACGTCAATGCACGTACGCCAAGAGCCACAAATTCAACACCATTTCATCTCTGTTATTGTTTACGCCTGAATGCGTGATTAATCAGGGAGGAGGTGTATGTAACTGTAAGAGAGAGACATTTTCTTTGGAGTTCCGAAAAACACTATTCCACCTGACAATTTCATGGGCAATTTCAATTGGAAGCTCTGCATAATGGACCCCCAACAAGCCCTTTGACTGACTAGTCAAGAAATCCAAAGGGCTGTATATTGCTCATATTTAGCCGCCGATAGTTCTTATTTAGAACAAAGTCTTCATTGTTATGTTCTAAAACTACAGACTATCCGCTGACTGCTGTGGAGACGTGCGACGGGCCTCGAATTTGGCGCACGTCTACACTGCGGACAGCGCTTCATACTTGAACATCCCCGCGGTCGCGTGCGCATATCCCGCGGAACTGCGCATCTCATCTGCGCGCAGCGCTCAGAATCAACAGCAAAGCTGTGCCACGCAATCTTGTATCATGTCTCTCTGGACGGACATGCGGCCGGGTTAATGCGCGCAGCAACGCCGCGCCCCCAGCGCGAACACGCCACCCCTTTTTGTCCTCTTAGACAGATTAACCTGAACGGCTCTGAAACACCCCGAAAACGGGGCGGTTTCCAAGCGACATTTCGTGATCGACGCCTAGAGGCCATCTCCAAACGGCCCAGAACTGCTCGTGGGGGTCGCGTGCCTCAAGGTTAAGACGTAGTCGCTGCTACAAGAAAGGCCAAGACATGCTGTCAATCGCCGACCACATGCTCACTCATTGGCCATTAGGTGATGACGTCGTCCGTTGCTGAACAATCCGTGATGTCAATCACACGTTTTTACGAATACGGCAAAGCGAGAGAATACGTGGACCTGTGGCGACCAGAATACGTGGAGAATACGAATGCTTAATGATGCTCCCAGCAAAATCTTTCAGCCACGTAAACAACCTACAATTCTCGATGAACAATGTCAGCACATGCCATTCTGTCTCTCTCTCGTTCTTAATGATGCTCCCAGCAAAATCTTTCAGCCACGTAAACAACCTACAATTCTCGATGAACAATGTCAGCACATGCCATTCTGTCTCTCTCTCGTCACTTGTGCTCCTGGTTTCGTTCCCCCATGCTCCCCGCTCCTTATTGCTCTCTCGCTCCACCTCTCGGTCCCCTCTCTCCGTTCCCCGCTCCTCAGCTCCTCTGTCTGCCTCTATCTATCCCCTCCTGCCTTCGTCCCCCACGCTCCCCGCTCCTTATTGCTCTCTCGCTCCACCCTCCTCGACCCCCCGCTCTCTGAACGTGTCCCCCTCCTGTGTCTCCGCACCCCCGCCCCTTAACTCTCCGCTCCCACTACTCTTTCCCCTCTCTCTCTGTCGCTGTCTCTTTGTATGTCTCTCCCTCTCTCTCCGTTGCTCCTCCCGGTCTGCTTCCAATTCATTGCACCTCTTCCTGTTCCTCTCTCTCGCTCTCTCTGTCTCTCACTCTCTCGCTCTCTCGTGTGTGCTCACTTTCTGACTCTCTCTCTCTCTCTTGTTATCTGTCTCTGTCTCACACACACACTGTCTTTCTCACACACACTCTCTCTCTTTCAACATTTCTTTTTTTCTACGTCATTGAGCAGACCATATTTATGAATAGAGCGGCAGCGCGCACAGCGTGGCTGCGTTGTTTGCATATGTGCCTGGCTGCGGCAGCATTGATGCATATGTTACTGTATATAGATACCTTATTGATATCTAGTGCATACTATAGCAAATGAATACACACAGGGTGAGGAGACCGTGTAAAGAGCATGAAGTGACTAGGTGACAATTGTTAATCACGGCAGGTGACAATATGTGCCAGATATGGTACGCAAATACGGCCGGTGACGGGACGACGGCGAGGATGTGAAAACGCGGGTCAATCTATAATTTAAAAGCCCCCCCCCCAAGGCCGCCGTAGCCGAGCCACACGATGTACGTTGTGACCGAAAACTGCCGCGATGTATACGGCTGGCCCGCCTATCACGATTCGCGCCAGCGGCCCTCCTTCAGCCGCGCAAAATCCTAGAGCAGGGCCAGCGCGAGATGCTACAAACAAACACCCCGCGTCGCATGCGCCCATGCAGCTCCCGTGTACAAGTGCGCTGCTTAAAAAAAAAAAAAAAATCTCAATACTGCTCATCAGCGAGTCAGGCGAACAACGCATCTTCTTGCGCAACGAAATCTTGTACCCGGTGTCACGGTCTGCAGATTACCCCCAGTCTTGAAATTACCCCTAGCCGCTACTGCGCATGCGCCACGCATGCCCGACGAGTGTTGGGCCGTGTAAAGCGCCAGTCAGCAAAAATTAGATTGGTTAATGACACTGCCACCGTCACAAGCAGTCTAGCGTACTTAACGCCATTTGTGTTTTCAGCCAAAGTGTTGTATTAGCCATTTGTCAAAATTACGGACACAAGCCAGTTTATTATTGCCCTCTTTCCAACACGGTTATGTGACTATACCACGCGCGGCCGTCTGGGCCAGATTCAATTATGGCTATACGCACGGCCGGCCGTTATGACCGACTCAATATGGCCTAGGATAAGGAAGGGAGAAGGGAGAAAGCTGGTGAGAGAAAGCCAGCGAAGTCGTGAGAGAAGTAAAAGGTGGTGGAGAAGTGAGGAGGGCGAGAAGCTGGTGTGAGAAGACAGCCGAGGCGGAGAAGGAGAAGGTGTTGCGAGAGAGGAGGGGAGCAATGCTGTGGAGAAGGAGGAGGGGGAGAAGAGAGTGCTCGTTGGAGAAGGAGCTGGGAGAAGCTGTGCGAGAAGGAAGGAGGGGAGAAGGGAGGTAGGTGCGAGGATGGCGGGAGAAGCTGGTGGCTGTATAGAGGACGGGAGTAAGCTGGTTGGACGAAGGAGCGCAAGGGAGAAGGAGGCGGAAAATGGAAGTGCGTGGAGGAGAGGCGCGGAGTCAGGAGAAGCTGTTGAGAGAAGGGAGGAGGGGAGAAGGGCAGAAGGTTGGTGTGAGATAGGAGGATGGGAGAGCTGGTGGAGGAGGATGGGTGAGAAGCTGGTGAGAGAAGCGAGGAAGTGGGGGGCCGGAAGGAAGGGGGAGAAGGAAGCTGGCTGGAGGAGGAGGGGGAGTAAAGTGAGAAGTGGTGGAGAAGGGGGAGGGGCTAGATAGCTGGTTGTTAGCTTCCTCCTTCTCACAAGGCTCTTTCCTCCTTACTCCTTCTCCCCTTCTCCTTTCTTCCCCTCCCTCCCCTTCCTCCACCGCTTCTCACTTCTCCCCCTCCTCCTCCACCAGCTTCCTTCTCCCCTCCTTCCCCTTCTTCTCCCCTTCTCACCGCTCACTGCCTCCACCAGCTTCTCCCATCTCCTTCCTCCACCACCTTCTCTCTTCTCCCCCTCCCTCCTTCTCCCCAGCTTCTCCCTCCTCCCTCCTCCTCCCTCCTCCATCATCTTCTCCCCTCCTCCTCCCCCTACTCCATCACCTTCTCTCCTCCTCCTCCTCCTCCTCCTCCATCACCTTCTTCCCTCCTCCTCCTCCTCCTCCTCCTCCTCCTCCTCCT